AATTAACGCCCCAATCCCCTATTAATTGGTTTTCCGAGTTTATTTCCGCTATTTTGATTTGCCGGGATGTTCGGTTTTGAGTTTCGGGGAGTATTGGGACACTTAGTCCCAGAATGAGAGCTTAAGTGTTAGAAAGTTGACCGTAGTCGAAATAGTATGAAGACGGCCTTGGAATGGAAATTCGACTATTCCGTTAGCTCCGTTGGGTGATTTCGGGCTTAAGGGTATGATTGGATTGCATTTTGGAGGTCCGTAGCTAATTTAGGCTTGAAATGACGAGAGTCTAATTTTTGAAGTTTCCGGTCCGATAGTGAGATTTTGATCTAAGGGTCGGAATGGAATTTCGAAAGTTGAAGTAGCTCTGTAGTGTTGAATGTGATGTGCTTGCAAAATTTCAGGTTATTCGGACGAGATTTGATAGACTTTTTGATCGAAAGCATAAGTTAAGAGTTCTTGGAGTTCTTAGGCTTGAATCCTATGTTAAATTAGTGATTTGATGTTGTTGTGAGCGTTCCGAAGTTTTGAACAAGTTTGAACGATGTCATGGGATGTGTTGGTACAATTGGTTTGAAGTCCCAGGGACTCGGGTGAGTTCCGGGTATGTTCTGGGATGTTTTAGGCCGAAAATCAAAGTTGTTGCAGGTCCAGAAGAGTTACAGGCCTAGGAACTCATCAGTGCAGTCCCCACAAAATCCAGTGCGCCCGCGGTGGGGGCTGTGCGGCCGCACAAAATGCAGTACGGTCCGTGGTGAGGAAAATTTCACTGGTCCTATTTCGGAAGCTCATATCTTGTGATCTACAAGGAATTTTGGGATGATTCAAAAATGAAAGTTGTAGCCCTTCGTGTCTAGTTTCCAGAAAAGGACAGAAATCACAATTTAGACATCTGCAAAGAAAGTTATGGCCAAAATACTAAAGCCTGTTACTGCAGTCAAAACCTGTGCGGACAACACTCGTTTTTGTGCGGACCGCACTGGTTTTGTGAGGACAACACTCGTTTTTGTGCAGTCCGAAGTGGTGGAAATCCGGGGGGTGCTCTATAAATACGAAGTTTTAGGTTTTATTTCATATTTTGACCTAGAGAGCTCGAATTTTGGCATTTTTTGAAGGTTTTTTAAGAAATTTATCGGGGTAAGTGATTCTAACAAAGATTTGGCTAGAGTACATGAATCTATCATTGAATTCATCATTTAATTCGTGATTTGGGATGGAATTTGGGAAGAAACCTTGTGAAATCTTTCAAAAATGTAAAATGATGATTTGAAGGACCAAATGGTATCGGGATTGGATAATTTTGGTATGGTTAGACTCGTGAGAGTGTGAGGATTCTGGAAATATTAATTTTACCCGATTCCGAGATGTGGGCTCGAGGGAAATTTTGGTCATTTTTCCTAATTTCCTGTATTAGTTTAGAATCTAATTGTGGAATCAGTTACTTGAGATGTTATTTACAATATACAATTGAATTAACTAGATTTGGGCCATTTGGAGTCGGATACTCGTGACAAAAGCGTGGTTTCGGGTTGACTTGTGCTTGTTCGAGGTAAGTGGCTTGTCTAACCTTGTGTGTGGGACTTTTCCTTTAGGATTTGATATAATCGTTAATTGAAATGTCTTGTACGTAAGGTGACGAGTGCGTACTTGTGCTAATTGTTGGAAATCCGGTTTTTCATTAAGTACTACTAGTATGTTTACTTTCCTGTTTGGTTCTTGTACTATTTAAGCCTGTGTTAGCTTAGTAAAAGCATGCCTAAGTGATTAAGTTGCCTTATTTGTTTAACTGCTTACCTGAAGTCTGTGCAGCATGCTAGGCTAGATTATTTGTTGCCTTAGAATGAAGTTTGACATTTTCTGAGTATTTCTCCTGTTGTTGTTGTGTATTTACATTGGGACTACGGATGTGGGATTCCGGCTCCCCCCTTGTCTGTTTACATTTGGGACTATGGATGTGAGAATCCGGTAGATTCCCCTGCACAGTGGTATGGAACTACGGGAATGCACCCGGTAGATTCCCTCAGTACTGGGTATTTATGTTTGGGACTACAGAACGGGATTCCAGTAGATCCCCGTGTACTATGAGCTGGACTACAGTACGATATCCCGAGAGACTTATTGGATATGTATATTTAGGACCTCAAGATGGTATCCTGTAAGATCCCCGGTTGATATTGTTAGTTTGAGCTGTATTTTCCTTCGATGTTTACATTATTTTTGTGTAGTTGTTGTTGTTGTCCTTTATACCAGTGTTATTTTCACTATTACTCACACTTATACTGTTTTATGTTCTTTACTATCGAATTATAATTTTTATTTAACCTCAGTAGGGCCCTGACCTTCCTCATCACTACTCAACCGAGGTTAGGTTTGACACTTACTGAGTACCGCTGTGGTGTACTCATGCCCTTTATGTGCATGTTTTTCATGTACAGATCCAGGTACCTCTACTCAGGCTTACCATTCTTGAGGCGAGGCGATTCTACGGGACTTCGAGGTATATTTGCCGCGTTCGCAAATCGAAGAGTCTCTTTCTACTCCTGCACTTAGTATTTAGCCCTTCTGTACTTTATGTTCTTATTAGACATTCCGGAGATTAGAGCTATGTAGTGTTTATCTCAGCTTGTGGATCCGTGAGTTTCGGGGTTTTGGGATAGTGTATCAGATTATTGAGAAGTTGTGTGTATATGCAACGACATTTAAATATTGTTTCCTTCAGTTATTTATGGCTTTTGACTAGTTATTTCGCAAGTTTAGTTATTTTCCGCATTGTTAGGCTTACCTAGTCGTAGAGACTAGGTGCCATCATGATAGTTCACGGAGGGCGAATTGGGATCGTGACAAGTTGATATCAGAGCTCTAGGTTCATAGGAGTCATGGATCACAAGCCGGTTTATTAGAGTCTCACTGATCGGTACGAAGACGTCTATACTTATCTACGAGAGGCTATGTAACTGTTAGAAAAATTCCACTTCATTTGATTTCCTTGTCGTGCGAAATTTTTGATATCACAATTCTAAACTTCTGTCTTCTATTCTCTCACAGATGGTGAGGACACGTGCTACCCGAGATGATCAGGTACCCGCGCCACCTACTGTAGTCGTCAAAGGCCGGGGCCTGGGTAGAGGCCAAGGACGTGCACGTGGTGCAGCTAGAGCACCTGTGCGAGCTGCCGTCGAGGTACCACCAGCAGTTCCAGCCGAATTCCAGGCACCTGACACACCTACTACTACTACCACGCCAGCATTTCAAGAGACCCTGGCACAGTTTTTGAGCATGTACACCACTTTGGCTCAGGCAGGGTTGCTTCCCCTTGCTGCAGCCACATCCCAGGCCGGGGAGGAGCACAGACTCCCGCCGCCCGCACTCTTGAGCAGCGAGTGCATGTTGATCAGGTCCCAGAGATTATTCCTGTGCCGCCTGCAGTGCCAGTTCGGCCCGAGGACAAGGCAACGACTTCAGAGGATGAGCAGCGGAGACTTGAGAGGTTCAAGAAATATGATCCTCCTGTATTCAGTGGGTTAGCATCAGAGGATGCCTTGGGATTTCTGGAGGAATATTACCGTATTCTCCGTATCACGGGCATACCAGGATCGAGCGGAGTTTCATTCACTACTTTCCAGCTTCGAGGAGCCGCCTATGAGTGGTGGCGCACCTATGAGTTTTATGTCCTGAATTTTAAATTAGTAATTCAGAAAATTCTGGATACTTATAGCCCGTTTGGCCATGCTGCAAAAATCAGCTTACTTTGAGAAGTGCTTTTTTTTCAAAAGTACTTTTGGTGAGAAGCAGTTTGTGTTTGGCTAATTAGTTTGAAAAACACTTCTCAGCAGCAATTAATGTTTGGCCAAGCTTTAAAAAACTGCTTCTAAGTGTATTTTTCTTAAAAGCGCTTCTAAAAAAGTGCTTTTGGAGAAAAACTACTTTTTTCTGCTTCTCCAAAACTTCTAGCCTGTTTGGCCAAGCTTCTCAAGACAAAAAAGCGCTTTTTTCCCCAAAAGCACTTTTTTTCCTAATTTGAGGTGTTTGGCCAAGGTTATTTGGGAAAAAAGTGCTTTTGGGAAGAAGCAGAAGCAGTTTCAGAGAAGCAGAAAAAAGTAGCTTCTTTCCAAAAGCAGAAGCAGAAGCAGTTTTGGCTTTTCTTCTTACCTAAAATACCCTTAACAAAATATAGTGTATACCAAAATAACCCTTAAACCTAATACTTAGGATATTAATTTATAAATAGTTCTTCTTATTTTTAAGAAACTTTCTAATATATAGTGTTTTTAGGGGTGAATGCTTTTATATTTGTTGAAGGAATTTTAATATATTTGACTTATATTAAAAGAATTAAGTACTTTTTAATTTTATTTTCATATTTTACTTAAATAAAATAATTTTTTTAATTATTGCATGTAATAACAAAATTTTGATATTATTTATTTACTTATAATATTAATTATTAAGTAAATCTATTCATGTCCTTATTCGTAATTTGACACTTAAAAGCACTTTCTAAAAAGCTTGGCCAAACACAAATTATTTCTCAAAAGTGCTTTTCAGACCGATTAGCCAAACACAAACTGATTCTCTCCAAAAGTATTTTTTTCAAAAGCACTTTTCAAAATAAGCTGATTTCTCCAGCTTGGCCAAACAGGCTATTCTTCTACTTCTCCTCAAAAACACTTTTTTTCTTTCCAAAAGCTTGGCCAAATGCTTCAATTTTTGGCCAAAAGTACTTTTGGCAAAAAAAAAGGCACTTTTGACCAAAAAGAAGCTTGGTCAAACCGGCTACTAGTCTTGAATTTTAAGTTGGCAGCTCAAAAAATTGATTAATTTTTAAATACATTATAAAGTTTGAATATATTTTAAATAACGGGCTGAAAAATGGCTATGGTTGGGCTTCGGCCGCAGCCCTAACTCCAAAGGCCCTTTAGACTTCACTCTTCACGGTTCTCTTCAGTTGTCGTCGCCGACCAGTCTTGTTGAGGTAAGCTTAGGTTGATAGCTCTATTTTTTGTTCCTACTGCATCTTCGGTTATGTTGCTTGGATTTAAATTGCATTACTAGACTTTTTTCTCTTCATGTCTTAAAGAAAAATGCTGTGAATTGCTAGTACTATAACATTGTTTTGTATCTTCTCCATTCCTATTTTCCCATACAGACAGAAGGAGGTAGAGGGAGAAAAAGGAGAAAGAGAACTCCTCAATTCAATGGCGAGAAGCCTCATTTCTCATGTCCGCATCCTCTTCTCAGAAACCCAGTTAAGAACTTTCAGTAGCCAAGTGGAGGAACTAAGGAATCGGATTATAGAAGGAAAGCCTAGGATCATGACTCCAAACTCGAAACGGACAGGAGCAATAGCCGTAAAATGTGGAATGACAGCACTCTGGGACAAATGGGGGGAACGCCTCCCCATCACCATCCTTTGGTTAGATGATAACATTGTTTCCCAGGTCAAAACACCGGAGAAAGAAGGCTTCTCCGCCCTACAGGTGAATCAATTATGCTAACTTCTTAAAGGCTGAATCTTTGTCCAAAAAAAGAAAAAGAAATATTTTGTTAGTGTATGATATACTGACTGTTACCAATTTATCTGACCCCTTAATTCGAACTCATCACTGAAAGAGTTTTCATATTGTTGTAATTAATGTGTCATTGTAATCGTTGTGACGACTTTGTGAATGTGTTTTCAAGCCTGAAATTGATATTTTGGTGGCTTTTAAGCTCGATATTGGTTGAGTAATTTCTTTACAAAATCGACCAAAATCAGTAAATAAAAGATATTTTGGTTGAATAAATGACTTTAAGGACTGCATGAATTACTCTTTATGCTATAGATTGTTATTTAATTGATCTTTATTATGGTGTTAGTTAGATTGGGTGTGCTCACAAAAAGGAGAAGCATTTGACAAAACCTGAAGTAGGTCATTTTAGAGCACAAGGTGTACCCATGAAGAGAAAGTTGAAGGAATTTCCAGTTACCGAAGATGCTCTTCTTCCTGGTGGAACAAGCATCAGTGTCCGCCATTTCGTTCCTGGCCAGTATGTGGATGTTACTGGAATTACAAGAGGAAAAGGTTTTCAGGTGTGGAGTAATCTTGATTGTGTTTATTGTTTGATATATCTTATTGATCGCTTTTTACCTGGTATGGACTACTCACTTCGCTATATTAAATGAAAATTGCACTTACCTTATAAAAAAAATGAAAATTGAGTTAACGCTTTATATAAGCAAAAATGTTTTCTACACTTCTATAGTTTTCTCGACTATTTAGCGATCAACTGTACTGACTAAAGGGCTTCTCGTATGTGGCATGTTGGAAGACCCTTCATCCATTTTGTGCTGGTATGAGTGTTACGGTTTTTCATGTTATTGGTTCTCGATCACGCCATCTGCTTTGGTCCAGATATCTATTGAGAGAAGTAGGTAGAACTGCTAATTGTTTTAGGACTCCAGAAGACAGTAAGACATAATTATCGAAAGAAAGTGAAGTTTTTTTCACTAATGAGTGCCTAGAACTTCATCAATAAAAATGCAATAAGGAGGTGTACTTCCATGTTCAGTATCAATATATACAAGTTGCCCTAACCAAGAAAGAATTGTCTATCAACTATGCACTCCTTGGAAGGTTCTCTTATCACTCTCTAGCAAAGTAGTTCAATCAAGAATTCCACAAAGTTCGGATAGGGATTATTTATGAAAAGTTCGCCCAAAGAAAAGCTGAAAAGGAAAGCTAATTTTTTGGTTGACCAGAGTTTTTAGACGACTTGTTTACTTAGCTACCTTTCTTAAATTATTTTGAACTTAGATCAAAACAAGGAAAAATTACATGTGTGAAATACTTATGAAAATACTCATTCTGTCCTTAACTGATTGACCGGCTTTGATCAATATTAGGTCTAGCTTCAACCTATCAAAACTTGGTGCTATTTTCTTCCTACTCCATTATGGCTATTATGGTGGCATACAAATTCTATTTTTTTTTTGAATTGGTAACTATTGTATATATTATAAATATCAGTACATAGGTTGCACTGAAAACCAAATTTACATGGAGAGAATTTGGAGATGTTCTAATTTGAGACCTAGCAAGATCCTAGTATGTCTATGATTGTCAATGTATCTTCTGTGTACATCTGTTTGCACCAAAAACAAAAAAGAAGAATACAATTGAGTTTGATCTTCTGTATTGGATTGCTTCTGTCTTCAAAACATCTAGTGTTCCTTTCCCTCCAAACTATCCACCAAATACAAGCCGGAACAGTCCTCCATCTGTCTCTGCTAGTTGCTTCAGCTCCAGCTTCTTCCCAGCTATAAAGGACATCTTTAAGCCTGTATGGCATTGACCATGAAATACCCCTAAGACTAATAAAGATTTTCCATAGTTGGTCTGTAATCTTGCAATGTAGAAACAAATGGGTGACAGTTTCTGCATTTTCCCCACATAGAAAACATCTTGAACACAGAGAAATTCCCCTTTTTATGAGATTATCCTGGGTTAATACCCCCTCCTTTGCTAGTAGCCAAGTGAAGCATGCTACCTTGTATAGAATCTTTGTTTTCCATATATGTTTCCAAGGCCATGTGTCTACTTGTTGATTATTATGATTCAAAATCTTATATGCATCCTTCACTCGGTAAACCCCTCTGTTGTGCCTCTTCCACCATATTGAGTCCAAACCTTCCTGTAATCCTGTAAATGCTTCCAACTCTTTGTAAAGGTCAGCTAATCTTGTTATCTCCCAGTCATTCAGCTGTCTTCTTAGAGCTATTTCCCATCCTTGACGACTCCTCATATCAGCTACTGTCTTATGCTGGTTTTGTGCTAAACCGAACATATCTGGGTATCTTTCCTTTAAGCTTCCAATTCCTAACCANTCTTTCTTTTTTATTCTTGAGTCCACAGCTTCATTTGCAATCAACACTGCATCAATTATTTGGCTTCCTTTAATGAACGCCATTTGTTGAGTATCGACAATTTTCCCAACCACCCTCTTAAGTCTTTCAGTTAAGACTTTTGAGAGCAATTTGTAGAAGCTCCCTATCAGACTGATCGGTCTGAAATCTCCCAATTCTTTCGCACCTGTCTTCTTTGGAATCAAAGCTATATATGTTGCATTGAAGCTTTTCTCAAACATCTCCTGTGAATGGAAGTTGTTAAAAACCGTCATGATATCTTCCTTCAAAATGTCCCAACACTTTCTGAAAAAACCCATTTTGTATCCATCTGGACCTGGAGCCTTGTCATTTTCACACATCTTCAGACTGCTCAGCACTTCTTGTTCCTCAAAGTTACTCTGTAAAGACTCCCTTTCTGATTCAGAAATGCTTGAACTATTTTCTAAATTGACCGTTGGTCTCCACTGTTCAGGTTCTGTGTATAACTCCTTGTAGAATTCAATGATCTCATTCTCTATTCTTTCTGGATCCTCGACTACTTCATGTCGAATCATTATTTGATCAATGTTGTTGTTTCTCTTGCGTGCATTTGCAGTCCGGTGGAAAAAATTTGTATTCCTGTCCCCTTCTTTGAGCCACAAAGCTCTTGATTTTTGTCTCCATGCAATTTCTTCATTCTTGAGTTGCTCCTCAATCTCCATTAGAGTAGCTGCTTTCCTCACTGATTCCTCCTTTGTCAGCGCTCTTAGTTGTTGTGTTGTCTCAAAATCTGCTAGTTGACTTAGCAATTTTGATTTTTGCAGTCCCAAATTACCTTCGTAACTTCTGCTCCATTCTTTTAGCTTGCCCTTGAGAGCTTTTAACTTGCAAGCTAAAATGTAATCAGGTCTTCCTGAGAATTCAAAAGATCCCCACCACTCTCTAATTCTGTCCTCAAAACCTTCCACGTTCAGCCACCAATTTTCAAACTTAAAGTATGATTTAGCTTGTTCCCACGCACCACAGTATAGAGCCACAGGTGAATGGTCCGAAATCAACCTTTGTTGGATAGTTTGCTTGATGTTTCTGAAGCTTACATCCCATTCTTCTGAAATGAGAAATCTATCAATTCTTGAAGCCGCTGTATGATTGTCCCCTTTGAACCAAGTATAGTTGCCTCCTTCAAGTCGAAGATCTATCAACTCCATATCTTCTATAAAATCCGAGAACTCCACCATCGCTCTGGACCTCCTTAAACATTTCCGTTTTTCAGAAGGGTACCTTGTAACGTTAAAATCGCCACAAACCGCCCAAGGACCTTCCATCAGTCCCCTCACTGCACCAATTTCTCTCCATACAAATTCTATTCAAATAAGTGATTTCTGAAAAGGCCACATGGTAATTAAACCTTGAGTCATAATTTTTTCTTTTAGGCAGTTAGTGTGAGTGATAGACTTACAATATTATTGGACTTCAAAGTGGCGGTTTGAAACCTAGTCGCTGGACTTCATTGAGTGTTTCATAGACCAACTTAAAGGCACAACTTGAATTTTTCAAATTTTGTTGCCTATTGAGCATTTCTTAATCTTCATGGCAGTTTTTTAACAGAAGTAGTAGCGCTTACTACGGTCATGGTATATTGGATATGAGCTCTCTAACCATTAGCTAATGGTAGAAATATTTTTTTGTTTGTATAACAAAATTCCACCTTTCTACTTTGTCTTCCACCTCTTATGCAAATTAACTGTTAGTGCTGTATCACTCTTGGAGGGTATATCTCGTTTATGAACTGTACTAAAGATGGGGAATTTCATATGTGTAGGGTGGGATGAAAAGATGGGGGTTTAAAGGTATGCCTGCATCACATGGTGCTTCATTATCCCACAGAAGTATTGGTTCGACAGGTCAAAGAGATGCTCCAGGAAAGGTAGATATTACCTTTTCTTCAATTTTATTTACTAAATTACAGTACATGAGTTTTATTTTTACCAAATTACGCTGTACAGAATTTTGAAAACCCCACCCTCCTAAAAAAAATTAGGGCAGGATTGGGCTTATAAAAGAGTAACCATTCTTTTGTACATGCAATTATTTCTTGTCTCTGAGTTTTCTGCTATGTTATTTCTAATAAACTATGGGTCACTTCGAGAAGTATGCTCATGCAATCCTCCATCACGTTGTTGAGTTTGACCTTCATGTAGTCTAAATTATTTTTAACAGCCTGTGATATTCTAAATTAGTTGGGAGCTTTAACCTCTCATCTGGGCCAGATAACTCTACTGAAGTTGCATTTGATATCCTTAATTAGCTCATTTTGCTAAACATTTGATTTGAAGTAAACGAACAGTTGCTTTTGGATAGTGCTGTCGTGGAATCTAGTTAATGTTACAAGCTTCTGCTTAATTTGTATTTTTTGCTTTAAAGGTATTTAAAGGGAGAAAGATGCCTGGGCGCATGGGTGGAGTGCAACGAACTGTTAAAAATGTTTGGGTCTACAAGATTGATCCTGCCAGAAACTTGATGTGGGTCAAAGGCCAGGCAAGATTTTGAAACCCTTTTCTTTTATTTTTAAACTTGAAACAAGTAGGTATGAGAGTTATCACATTGTACTCATAATTTGATTATAATTCTCTTTCTTGTGCAATCGTTAAGATGAAATTCTATGCGTTCAAACTCAATTTGACTAAAAGAGTTGGTAATTTATCAAAAAAAAAAAAAGAGAGAGAGATGGAGAGAGAGAGAGCTGGTTGGCAGTGTAACATCAGCAATCAACATTATTAATCCCCATGTATGCTTTCTAATGAATATTAGTTGCCAATCAAAAAACTGAGCAGTATGCAAATATATGGGAACTAAGGGTGGGGGGTCACTTTTCCTTCTTGAGGTAACTACGAGTTTAAGTCTGGAGAAGGGTGTCATTTCGATCTCTTACATGGAACTGTGATAAAACTGCTTTGATCTTGTAAAGAGTGTGAAATTCTTCAGTATGATGCCAGTCCTTGCTCAGTTATACGGGTAGATAACACAGAGCCAGTGAAGGTAACTTTGTGTTCATACTGAAGACATACATTATACTGTAACTCCCTTTTCAGGTTCCAGGAGCTGAAGGTAACTTTGTGTTCATCAAAGATTCTGTGTACAAGAAGCCAGATATTTCAACGCTTCCATTTCCCACGTACTTTGCCCCAGAAGATGAAGACCAAGCTGATTTGGAACCACTAGTGGCGGATCTTGGTGGTACAGACCCGTTTATGGCTGCTGATTAGTTGCGGGCAACCTAGCTGCGGACCAAGGCATTTTCATTGTCCGTTCTTTTACTTTTTTTTATTTTCTTTAACAAGAAGCAGTGAAGTGGTTTTGCATGGGGCAGGGCTTTATTGAGAACGAACTTATTTGTAGTAGTATTTTCACAGTTTCTCTGGCTGATGGCATTCAACTCAAGTAGTAATTTTTTGAGTTGTACTACAAAATTTAGCTACTTCTTGTTGAATAGGGCGAAATGTTGTTATAGCATGATTCAACACTTCATCCAGGGAAGTTGTACAGGCACAATCTGATTATGTTGTTGCTGGATGACTAGAGCTAATAAAAGAAATGTGAATGGAGAGCTATAAACGACAATAGTTTGTCATTTTACTTGTATTCGGATTCAAAGCTCTACCTTTGTTGGTCTCAAATAAAGTGTTTTTGACATGACTAGGTGGTCTCAACGGTATTGTAACTTTAGCTTAATCTTTGTTTCCAATGTTGAATGCAACAATAGCAGAAATCCAAATTCTTCAAACAAGCTTACCAGAAAGGTTTAATTGAGCAATTATGGAGGCACGAGTAAATGTTGCTCATGGCGACTGATTGGTACCTGCAACAAATAACCCATTGATTTTTTTTTCACTGTATTTGAAGTGTACAGAGTTATTTTCAAACCAATGAATCGTACATCGAAGTGATATTGAGAAATTATAAGCATTGAGGGGTCCATAGGAAAGCTTCTTCAACCAAATCAGGAACTATAAAGATCAAGACAACTATCACATAAAATGTTGTGAAATTGTTAAACTAATACTAATTTCCTCCATTGGTTAAAAATAGACTTGTAATCACCAGCCCATCTCTCTATTTCCTTTCTTTATTCATTATTAATTAATGGGAAATGACAGTTTGCAAATAAAATCATTTTTTGGATAGTTTGAAGTCCATAAGAAACCATCTTCTAAGCCGTGACTGGTGGCAGATATGAACCCCACAAGAGAAATCCTCACTCGTGCAGGTATGAAAAGTCTGATCAAACTTATGGACTTGTGGTCTATGACTCTATTCTTAAAAGGAACATAGTCTTAATTAGTTCACGGGTCCTTCCTCTTTTGTCCCTCTCACCTTCAACTACCATCCGATATCCAATCAAACCAACTCTTATGAAAACACCAAGTCCTTAAAATTTGGGAAACTCCAACATCTTGGTTTTCCTTTAACACTCTCCATCTTCAACAATCATACACATATACTAAAAGACCATGGACTGGTTTTCATGGCTCTCTAAAACTAGCCTTGACCCTTCTCTTGTTTATGACTATGCTCTTGTTTTTGCTCACAATGAACTTGATCAAGATGATGTAGAATATTTCAACCATGAATTTCTCCAAAGTATGGGCATTTCAATAGCCAAACATAGGCTAGAAATTCTCAAGTTAGCTAGGAAGGAAAAGAGCAGAAGCTCAAGAATCCATATCTTGTGGTTTATTTTAGCAATCAAACAAGCAAAGCAACAACTTGCTAAGCGCTTGAGCACGTGGACTCATCGACCAAATTCAAGTGCCCTGCTGCCCCTGAGAAATTACAGTTCAAGATGGAAAGCCTCTATGCTGAAGAGGAATAACAGATTAACTGCAGCTAAACAAGAAAGGCCAGTAATGCAGAGTACTAATGCTACTCCTAATCAAGGAAGGTTAATGATGCTTACAAATGGGAGTCCCAATCTCATGATAGATTATTCTGATGGTTGGATTAGCAGTTCTTCAAGCTCTCCAGTTGAGGGTTTTCGCGATGATAAAGACATGGATGTCATTTACAGTGAAGAGATTAAGTGGGAAACAATGTTTCAAGACTTGAAACCTACTTAAGTTCTTGGAATTCTTTATATCCACTTGAATTGAAATGATGAGGAATTTGCAAGTTAAACTATCCTCATGTTTTTCCTTCCTTTAGATACCTTCAAGTGTTCTCTGGAATTGTTGCATTATATTTTTCTGAACTAATTGCCTGTAAGCAGCAGAATGCAGTGTTTTAACTAATTTTACCATACTTTCTTCATACTCCATTATGGCTATTATGGTGGCATACAAATTCTATTCAAATAATAATTGATTTCTGAAAAGGTCATATGGTAATTAAATCTTGTGTCATAGTTTTTCCTTTTTAGCATTTAGTTAAGAATGCAAAATTTTCAGCAAGTTTACTCTCGCAATAAAGTGGCAAATCCCACTTCATAGGCGCCGCTTCCCCCTACCTCTTGGGATACTCTGTCTCCTCTCCCTCATTTCTCTTATGATAACAGTGGTGTCCGACCAGCTGCCTACCAAAGCTTAGGTAAATGGAAAAATAATTCACCTAGCCTTCAAGAGAGTGGCAGAACAGGCGCGGGGGGGGGGGGGGGGGAGATTCACCACCTTACTTGATTAGCAGTTGTTAGCACTGTTAAGCAGCTCATACTAAGGATAAAAAGCTAATACTATACATCACTACATTTTCGGAATCAGCCAATAAGATTTACTTAATGAACAATAACAATTTGCAGGCAATTCAATGCACTATTTATTTCCTGATATAGAAGCCTCAAGCTGTCGCCAAAATTATTACGAAATCAACATTAGTACATCTTACTAAGACACAACTATTGGTTTCATCCAGAGGAACATGATGGAAGCCACATTCATCGAGAGAACACTTCCAGTTATATTCTCAGTTGAGGATAGCCTTTCCTTAACGGTAGGGAAATGCTACATGGCTCTTTAAAACAGGTAAAACTCTAGTTATAACTTATATATATAGATGCAAAAAGTGATGATACCAATCAGTGATCAGAATCCTGGGCCACACGGAAAGAACCTGCAGCATACAACATCTGGTAAACTGGTCTAATTCTGATGGTCAAGATCATGCTCAAGAATGCGCCAAAGGCACAAACTCCTGCTAAAACCAGGAATGTGAGTCTAAAGCAATTTGCGCCCAGACAGTGGGGTCCTTGTTGCTTTCCTGCCTCAGCGTCATAGACATAACCAGCCAGTAGACCAGAAAACAGAAGTGCTCCAATGGGGTTGCCGAGCTGCATGAAGTTGAATATTATGCCAAAATGTTTCAAGCCAAAAAGCTCAGAAGCAGTTGGAATCATTACACCAAACTGAACACCGAAGCAAATTCCTAGCAATGCAGTCGCAGCATAGAGAGTACCACTCAGAGCTGAAGCATATAGAAGGAATATTACAATCATGATGATTTGTGTTACCATCATCCAAAATGTCCGTGGAATTGTTTTTGACCTGCAATAGACATGATACAAGTGTTAATTATTGGTCACAATCAAACTAGACAACGATCTAGCAATCATCAGTTCAAGTCATTCTTGAAGTTAGCATTGAACGATTAATTAAAGTAATGCATTATCAATCATGAAAATGAGGAGCTAGCAACAATGAAAATGGATAAATTTAAAGCTAGCAATACTATCATTTAAGAAACGTCAAAAGAATGAAAGCATTTTATTGCCTAGCCCCCAGCCAAGTGAGCAAGAGAGAGAACTTCAGCATACTAGCCACCTTCCTTCTTGAGAAACAAAGAAAATAGGTGGAAGAAGCCAGATTAATACCTCACGAAGTGTTCAGAAACAACACCTGCCCCAAGACGGCCCAAGAAATTGCAGAAGCTGAACAAACTCAGCAATATCGTTGTGTCATTTACACCAAGTGCAACTCCAATCTGTGCTAAATTATTTAGAACAGTTACACCAGACCCAACACCGAGGAAGTATACTACCCACAGAAGCCAGAAGTCAGCTTTAACAACAGCTTCACGAAACTTGAAATCTTCCCCTCTTCTAGGTTTCCTTTTCTTCTTCACTGCACCCTCGCCCTCGGCCAGCAGCATGTCTACCTCAGAAACATCTTCACCTTCATGAAAGCTCCCAAGGTCTGCTTCTGATGAAATTGGAGTTAATAAAGACGCTGTTTGGCTGGAACTGACTTCTTCTTCAGTCAAATTGTTTGAGGAACCATCTAATTTTCCAGATCTCTTATGAAGAGACGGAAACAGTGTCATCTTCACAGGAATGGCTAGAGGAGACATCAAGAAAATAACCATTACTCCAGCAAGAATATAGGAGATGGAACTATTTAGAGATAGCGTGCTCTTCAAAATTGTTGTAGTGAGAAGATAAACTGCAAGCAAGAGACTTGCTGCTTGTGTGAAAATAAAATGGACATGCTCTGAGGAATCCTCGCCGGAAGCTGGTGTGCAAGCCCGGATAAAGTACATCATGACCAAACAGATGATGGGAATTCCCAATGCTAGAAAGAGCAATAACTCCGAAGCTGAATCGTTAAGAACCATAGCGAAGATCTCTGTGAAAACTGCACCACTCAGGCCAACATAACCTTTCAGTATTCCAGCAACAGTGCCTCTACTGAGAGGGAAGTTCCTCATATTGGTGACAAGTACTGCTGTGCCCATCCATGCACTGCTGTTCGTAGCAACCACCAGTGCAAGCCAAAGCTGCCATTCAATCAGATATGGACAAAGATAACAAGGTGAAACAAGTTCTGTACTATGTGAACAAGTTCTGTAGAACACACAAGCCCAAATTTTGTTATATAGCTCTTAACAAAGTAAAATGTCTCACACGGAAATTATGTCAATGGAAGCCATATCAAGAAGTGAGCCTTTAGAAGGTTCAGAACATTTGCACTCATGTTCACACATTTCAATCTCCTCATTAGGAGAATCTCTAGACTTCTAAAAGATTACTGAAAATGTAATATAACAATAGTGAAATGACACACCTACTAGAAATGGTTGGTGACACTTGGTGTTTCCTCCAATTATTCCTCGGATATCTATTCCAGTCCAAATGATGAAAAGAAAATATATATTCCAAGCCAACTTTCTCAACCAAAAAAAAAAAATCTATTCCATGCCAAACTGAACATGAACTCGTACAACAGAGATTAACAGAGGAATTCAAGTCACATGCATTTACTAAGGTCAAAAAAACCCTCACAATCAAAGAGTCGTGGTTTGTGGGGTTTAAAGCTACAATGTAAAAATCAAAATCCCATACCTTAAGACTACTAGATACAAGGAAGAGTACCAAAATTTATCCTATTATCCCCAGCATCAGCATTCACTCATGATTTCTGTATCAGACTAAACAAGTCTACAGCTTCAGGAGACTAAACATGAAATCAATTATAGCGCAATCTTTCTCCCACCCCACCCCACACCACCCAACAAATTAGAATAAATATAGATAGAATTGATATAAAATATGAGGACGCCCCTAAAGACGTCTGTAACAATAAGCTAATTGAACTAGAAAAAGAAAAAGAAATCAAGAACTCACAACCCAATAAGGCAAAGAGAGCAGAGTCTGGCTAACAGCAAGCCAAAGAACGCCATAGCCAAAGAAAGAAAGGCAAACACCAACAAGCAAAATAACCCAAGGTGGGAACTTGTTGCAAGCTATGCCTGGAAGAATGCCAACGTTCTCCCCAATATCATTAGCAACTCCAATAATAGTCAATTGCTGCTGACTGAAACCCAGCACTGATTTCAAAGCAGGGGAATAGAGTGGGAAAGTATAAGCGTTACCAGCTGCTATTTGTACCCAAACAGCAGCAGCAAGTCCTACCCATGGTGGTCTGCTCCCTTCTTTTAGGACAGCCATTCTACAGAATTTGGAAGCAAAGATTCAAAAGATCTCAACTTGTTAGAGGCGATGTTGTCATTATTGTAAGACCAACTTGAAATGGACCAACACCTTATTTCCTTGAGAATAAAGACTGTGAAAGGTATTGTCTTTAAAACTGGGAAACGTGGACAAATTGGATTTTAAAAACTAAGGCAAAGGGTCACATACGTTTAAATATATCATTCCTTATATATATTGGGTCCAAATATATTGCTACTGTAATACTATTAGTTTAAATATATATTTCTTCTATTAAATTTGTTCAAGATGAATATCTAGTAGTACGTGACACACTGATATTTGATGAGGTGAATGCCACATGGCATACCACCTCAGCGTCCATGATCCATATATATAAGATTAAATTTAAAATACAATATTTTTCATGGCAGTGATATCAATAGTGGTAGAGGGGACTAAAAAATTTAGCCGCGGAAAAAAATAGAAGAGGGATAAAATGGGTTAGGAGCGCTGAAGTGGCAAGTCATGTGACATTCACCTCATCAAATGTCAGTGTCACATATGATTGAATGCTCACTTTGAACAAACTTAACGAAAGAATAGTATATTTGAACCAATAGTATAACGACGGACTATATATAGACTTAAAATATAGTAATAAGTTAAATTTAAATCTTTTCTAATAGTACAAGAACATATTTGACCTTAAAAACGTACTGGAGCTGTGAGTCACGCAAAACAGGCTACCTAGGTGGTCCAGAAGTTGTACCTTTTTCTCAAGTTTGATGTGACAACAATTAACAAAACGTCCCCACCTTGGATTCTGGTTAATTTCTGAAGAACACAGGTTAAAAGATTTTAATGGCAAAAATCTTCATGAAGTGGCTGAACATACTCCACAAAATCACAAATTCAAATCCCTGTATTAGCTCAATTGTGATATAGACTTCAATATTATTTGTGTAACATCTTGGGTGCATTACTGCTTCATTTACAATATCATCCATGATCAACTTGGTACAAATTATCCAAATTGCTAAGCTTGGCAAATCCAACCTTATCGTTTGGTTAGATTGTTTTTACTTATTACTGTATCCAATTTCCAAATCTTATTTCTTGGTTGTGATTTTCTTTCCCATAAAATGCTTCAAATACATTTAGTTTTAGATGTTGTATCTGGTCCTTACCTAAGTGATCCTTATTAAATTACAAGTGTACAACATACGCTGGCAATATAGTTCAGCCAATATTTTTCCAAAGATTTTGCTCCGTACTCAAGGTTAAATTTGCTCAAGGCCAACGACCATTATCTAACTAGACGCGTTACCTACCACCAATGCATCAAACTAGGATAGTCAACATAATAAAGCGAACGGTCCTTCTCCAATTAATGTTGAAACCATATTGGTTATTCATGTTACTCATTACTCAAAGGATCCGTTTAGTCACTTTGATATTACAAGGATTTAATGACCTAACAACCATACGTGACACCGCTTCAAGGTGCCTACGCCCATGACTATTACTTAACCCATATATATCATTCAAACCCATTTCAGAATGCATCTAAGCAAATACATGCCCATATGCTTTGCTAATCGTCATTTTACCACAAATTGGTTATGCAAAACTCGCACAAGATTGTTCACTTTCCAATGATTTAACTATTCGACCCAATGATAGCAGAAATTCAAAAATAACCAGATTTACAAGTGGTCATTCAAAAATAACCATAGTTTTAAAAGTAATCGAAATTTAGCCATTTTTCATGTAAAGATAAATCTGAACGAAAACACTATTCAAAATCCCGAAAATACTCCAGCATAATATACTAGAATTCCAGTATAATATACAGGTCCAACATAATATGCTGGAAGTTCCGACACAAGTGCTCCAATCTCCAGTATATTATGCTGGAACTTTCCGTGTTACAGCAAAATAGTGGCTATTTTTCAATAACTTTACAAATACTGGCTATTTTTGAATGACCAGTCCGAAGTACTGTTTTTACCGGTCCCGTTGGTTAGTTATTGATCCAATTATTTGTCCTTCTTACTGTTATATATGGGCTGAAGCCCAAATTAAACCGTTTTGCCACTCATCCACCAGTTAGAATATAGGCAGCCCAAAGAAAATCTGAATATGGTTCCATTTTGCCACACCACTATGGAATACGAGTATTTTTTTTTTTTTTTTGGTAAGTTGAGCAATTATTTACAAATATTTTGAAGTATGAAAGAATCATTCTGCTAATGAATGTAAATAAATAAAAGATCTGTTGACATGATCCCTAATCTCCTCACAACTCACAAGCTGTAGTCTCACGTTTGGTTATGCAAGAGAAGTCGCCCAAACAAGCTGCAAATGAAATGAATCATCCTCCACTCCATATAGAAGAGCTGCCAATGAATTTTGTAATTGTAAATTGTCCCGTTTAGTAGAAGATCATTTGAATAATGAATAATATAATTCATCCCAAAATATCTAAGTTATGAGATGCGAATATTCAACTAAAAACCAGGATCAATGTATGAAACTAAGCCAAGCAATTCTTGTACCATCTCCATCAAACACGGGTGATCATCCACGTGCTTGCTCAAAGCCCCAAATTTTTAATTATTTTATTATATTTCAATGTTACTGACTTGCCATGAAAAAAATCTAGTTAAATCTAGCATTTGGAATGGCAGTTGTAATTGTCATTTGTCTCTTTATTTAAACTTGACAACACAGCCTCGGTGTAATTAAAAAAAAAAAAGAGAGAGAGAGAGAGAGAAAGGCCCAACTCACCCACATGATGTTTCAGGGCATCTTTTGACAAAACGTCCACGAGCTTTGAAATTATGGGCTAAAACCTTGTACAAAACTACATAGAAAACTTATCCTAACGGTGTATTTAAAAAGAAGTTGTTTTAATTTGGCAACAGAGACAAAAAATGATAAAACAAGGGTAAGAACACAGCACAAGAAAAATTGACCAAGCGGGATCCCCCTTTTAGGATAAATTAAGAGGGTATTTGGATTAACGTATTTTGTGGTATTTAGAAATAATAAAAAGTGCTTAAAATCATTTACTTTTAGGCATGAAAAATATAAAAATAAGTCAAAAGCCGAGTATTACCAACTTATGACTTTTGGTTTTTAACTTATAAGCTACTCCCCTGTTTCAAAAAGATTAACACTATTTTCTTATTATTTTATTCCAAAAAGATTAACAACTTTAATACTTTTTCGCATAAATATTATGGCTTATTTAAAACCAAATATCTCATAAGTCTTCCCGTTCTTTATTGAAGTACATATCAGAGAAGTTCATACCAAATCAAACTAAGACCATTTTTTGAAAATGGTACTTTTTAAAAGCCAATTCAAACACCCTATGAAATTATTAACCAGGGGGAATTCACCCTAGGAATATATTGAATTTAAAGCAACTTTAATTTTAACCACCTCACACCAGCTATAATGTCTGTCAGAAAAAAGGAAATACTCCAAGTCCTTTTCTCCACTGAGTTAGTTTTCTCTTTTTCTTTTTGGAAACCCAGAGAACAGCTGAAGTCCTCTTAAATGGGAAATTTCTGTATTTCATTCACTTCGTAGGGCCTTTTTTTCTTAAAGTGAAGGGGGTTGAAATGGCTAATTGATTTTCTCAACTGAAGGTACAAGTAAATTAAAGTTTTAGTTTTTACTGTCAAAATGTTAAAAATTTCAATTTTATAGTCCATATATGTGTACTTGGATTTGAGTCATTGATCAATTCGCCAAGTCACTGTCATGATCCGCAGGCCAGATTCCAAATTAAAAATTCAACCTGTAAAAGAACGCCATGAAATACAGTATGTTAGCATCAATAGTTGTTGATTGGCACATTAAATAAGGCACCAAAATATGAACTAACAACCAACCAACAAAAATAAAAAATAAAATCACCTCCAAACAGGTAAACCAAATGCCATCAAATCTAAGCAGTTGCACCGAATATAAATTCTCAACTGAAAGTACCACCCACTGAAACAAATGCAACCAAACCAATCATAATTTGCACAAACGGCGAAAAGAAACTCAGATTAATTTTTACGTAGCTTCAGTTAATTTTGAAACTTGATATTTAATATGACACAATTAAATCATAGATTAAAATGTGATATTTAAGAGCATATTATAGATTAAGCTGTGATATATTGAGAGCTGTATATAACATGCTGCACTCTCTTCTGGTCTATTATCTAGTTTAAAAATAAAAGAATACAAAATTTTGGGGGTTGGGATAGTGGGAATGGGCTTAAAGGGCACGGGCTTTCGCCTGAAAATACAAAAAAGTAATAAGGCCTTCCCCCGAGTCAACCCGTGCTGGCTTAGTGAGCTGATCCAACCCGTAACTGGAAAACGCTAACGCCGGAACTGTACATCAAAACGATTCAAAACACTATCATAAATCTTCGGCTTTGGACATGACGGAGAGCCGGCTAGGCCGCGGCTGAAAATCATCTCTCCGCCTGAGATGATGAGATGACGGGCGAATCAAAGCGGCAAGCGCTCTCTTTACCAGTTCACCTTCAACAGTTCCAATCCTAACGAGCGAGTTAGTCATGGCCGATCTCCTCATGTTCAGGTGATAACTCGACCGATACGACGACGAATTGGAATGTCCCCGATTCTGGCTCATGTTCTTGTGAAGACTGCAACGGAATGAGCCTGGATGCGTTGTCGGCGAGCACATGCACGTTTTCTTCTGATTGGACTGCAAAGGCCTGCTATTCTGCTTCTGTTGATGAGGATGAACTGAAATCGAACGGCTGGTAGAGGCAGAAAACCGTACATTTGGCGATGGGGAAACGGCTCTACGAAGATTGACACGGGTCGGGGAAGTGGATCGGGTCAGGTAATCGGAGTCTCTGGTTGAAAAACTGGAGAAACTAGGTGAGGTCGAGGACGACATGGAATAGGAGCAGAATCGACCCGACGGTGAAGTGGATCGTTGAAAGTGGTGGTGAAAACTTGAACTATGAGGTTTGCTTCTAGACGACGAAGCCTCCATTGTAGATTTACAAAGTAAAAAAAAGGAATTTTGATAGGAAAAAGAAAAAAAAGGAATAATTGTCTGAATTTAGAAGAAATACCTTGCTAGTGCCGATTTGCTCTCTAATTCGGCAAACCTAAGAATAAAAAAGGCGACGTTTATATAGGAGAATGAAAGTGATGGCAATATAGTGATTTGTTGGAATTGGAGGGGATATTGAGGTCAACTGGCCGCAGGGTGAATATGTTGGGGTGGGGGCTAGGGTTTTCCAATGGGTCAAACGGTAAAACACCTAAAAGCTGTGGGCTCAATGCTCTTGAGTATCCACGCTACCGAATAGCAGTGATGATGACGCGCTATTAGCAGTGGGGTTATAGTGTATCTTCTAGTGCACGCTACTATAGTTCGAGGTGGGGCTTTTAGGACCTGACGAAAAGAGCTGGGCGCCGAATCTGGAGCCATATGTCAGTAGGATTGAAAATCTATGTGACACGTACCCCTAGGTCTTTGTTTGCTGTCCCAAATCAATGGAGGGAACTACAAGAATATCCAACGCTTAGTCTTGAGTTTCCGACTGACGAGACTGTCCTTTGTGTTGGGCAGCTATTTACTCTTTGACCCTCAAGTTTTCTATGGTAAGTACTCCTTACTCCATAACTTATTTCCTTTTTGGTCTGTTTTAAAAAATAAATAAGAATGACATCTTTTTAAATTTGGTAACAATTTATATTAAACTTATAATTCTATCATTAATGAGAAACTTTTATAACCACATAAATGCTCTGGGTCCCTTTTTGACTTGTTTAGAACCACAAATTTCAAAAGATTTTATTTTTCTTACACTCCGTGTCCAGTCAAACAAATTCACATAAATTGAAACGGAGGGAGTATTTGTTTTGTTTGGTCTTTAACTGATGTCATTGGAAGCGTTTTCTATTAGAACCTGTTTGGAAAGCCGCCTAAGAATTGAATTTAGGTGTAATTGAATATGATTATATAATTTATCATGTTTGTCTAGTCAAATAATTACTTGAGAAAGATGATAATTATACTTTATAATTACAAGTTCACATTTTAATTTATTTCCTTTTTATTTTTATTTTTATTTATTTTCTGTATAACTTTTTATTTCCACTGTTTTAATTTCTTTTTAATATTTTTTTTTCCAAAGCTCTAATCTAAAACCCTTGATTGCGAATCCGTTCATCACAATCTTTACCGATAAAGTTACTTTTCATATCAAGAAATAGTAGTACAGTCAGCCCTCTCTATAACAACATTCTTGTATAATATCCATTTATTATAAAAGTCAATTTTTTCGGAATCGATTTTAATATTATGTTATAATATATGTTCTGTATAACAATACTTCACCATAGAAGTCAAAAAATATCGAAACAAACGAGATTGTTATAGAAAAGTTTGATTGTACTACTTTATTAGAAAAACATATGCAGGTTTAGAAAAAAGATGAATAGATATAAGTGATGAAATCTAAATTATTCATCAATGTTGTTTAATTGTCCATGAGAGATTTAAATATTTAACTTAAAATGAGTTGTGATTGTTTTGATTTCGAAACTTATATAGTTATATTCCTTCTTTATATTCAAACATGTGTAAACGTTTATGAAAATTGAATTATTAGACGTTGAAATAATGAAAGAAAATTATGAATTTTTGAAAATATGTACACAGTCAAATCCTCACAGATACTACCTTGTAAAGAGATAGGTTAGAGTGAGATGCTCTCCCCTTTCTCTAAGGAACTCCTGTCTCCCACCCCAGGCCATTTCCAAGATTTTCCTCATCCCCTAATCGTTTATAGGTTCCTTTTAACCTCGACAATCACCTTCCAATGAACACATACAACATTATCAAGACAATCCAAACTAGAACAACACTCCCTCCTTAGAGGAAGAAATGACACTCCAAACATCAATGGAATGGCTAGCCAGCTCCATCTCAACCCCATGCACATCTCTAACTACCCCCAACAGATATGGAAATTAGCGTAGACCAACACCCTAAGGAAATCTCAAAAGAGGTAAATAACCCTAGTAACAGTAATACAGAGAAGATATCCTTCTTGGATACTTTAATATCTAAAACGAACACTAACCCAGATAGTAGCCAAGTAATAGTGCAACAAAACCTAGATTCATATGAACCTGAAGACAAAACAGACAACTACCCGGACTCTGATTTTATCATCCCAATCACCTCATCGGATAAGGAACATATCTACAAAAATTGAACCAATGCCCTCATTATTAAAATGTTTGGTAGAAGAGTGGGCTACCAATTCCTCCAAAAAATATTACATGCGCTATTAAGACCAACTGAAACTCTATCTCTTGTAGACCTAGGGTGTGACTACGACCAGATAAAATTTACCAAGGAAGAAAATTATAACAAAGCTCTCCATGAAGGCCCCTGATTCATTGGGAATCAATTCCTCATAGTAAGGAAATGGGAGCCCAAATTTGTAGCCTCCAAAGCTGCGCTAACATACTCAGCTATATGGCAAGACTCTCGGAATTACCTACAGAATTCTATGACTATGACATACTATAAAAAATTAGAGGAAAGCTAGGATAACTAATACGTATAGATGCTTGCACCAAATCTGCGATGAGAGAAAAGAATGCTCGCCTTTGCGTATTAGTACCCAGAGAAAAACCACTCAAAACCTACATTGTGATTGGCAAACTGTTGCTCCCAAACACACACGCAAGTATACGTGGTCGACAAGTAATATAGGATTGTAAGTCCAGATATCGTACCCACAGGGACTTGTGATTAACTATCAACTAAATTAAACCAAACAATTAATCTATTCAAGCGAATCCTAAACTATGAATATTTAACTAAAATTAATCTAAACTAACAAATTAAGAGATCAAAGAAAATAACGACAAGCTTAACGGCGAATTCAATGTGGGTGAATATTCTAGAGCTATGGGTTGGCTGACAATCCCGTTGAGTTTTCCACTTAAATCATCTAATTAATTTATCTGGTTTATTGGTTGACAGGGTTAATATTGCTCGTACCCTTCTCCCGAAGTACAACTCGCCTATTCAAGCTAATCTAATGCCTACATTCCTATGGAATTAGAATTAACAAGAACGCATTAATAATTCCTGTATAGTAACCAAGCAAGGCGATTAGGTATATTCCTATCCTAACCGCAAATCTGCCCTCCCTAAGAGTTAAGATCTTGCTCTACCCAATCTTATATGCAATCTAGAATTCCCTCTCCCGAGTTCAATCCTAGATTCATAGATAGTATTCAATTGGTGATCAAGTAATCAGATAATTAAGCGCAAGATTGAATAAATAAACCAATATGATAAAATAATAAGAACAATCTAAGCTTCAAACTACAACGTTCATGTATCACCTAAAACTCTAGAACTAATGAACTATGAAATTAAAGGAAGAGAAGAGAAGAAAAACTAGTTAGAAGCCTCCTCCAAGCGTGGTTTGTGTTCCTCCACGTCTAAAGTGTGTCCCTAGGTCTAAGATGTGTCAAAAGTCTGTTTGATCTCTTCAAAGTAACATTTTTCCACGTATATATACCAAGTAGGGTCGGGCCTAGATGAAAACACCTTATCCTGCGCGAAATAGGACTTTGGCTCTATAAATTTTGTACAGCCGCGCCGCACCATGCGGTGCGCTAATGGAAATTATCAGCAGCCTCAACTTTTCGCATCAGACAACATTTTACACTGCCGCGCCGCGCCTTGCGGCGGCCCATGCGGCACGACAGTGTAATTTTCTCAGAGTGAACTTATTTCTTCCTCTTTTAACATCCGAACTTGGTACACTACCTACGAACACGATCCCGGCTTAATGTCTTGGGCTTTTACTCAGACTTCAAAGCTCCAAATCACTTGAATTCATTCCATAACGCCTACATAGATCAGAATCACTCCTACAGGGTATAAAACACATATTTAGTGCAAAACACTCGCGATTAAAGCTCAAACTCAATTAAAGTGCAGTAAATTAGAGCGTAATAAGCGACTAAAATACACAGTTATAGCCTATCATCAACACCCCACACTTAAACCATTGCTCGTCCTCGAGCAATAAATTACACTTTATATAGACACAACCTTTTTAAGCAATTCTCCTAACTCATCACACCAAGAATATTTAAAATAGACTAAGCACAAGAGTGTAACATCTTCACCTCAAGATTTGACTCACAAGTACCGCGCATTATTCGCAACTCACCCACTTACTCTAACATAGAGGTCACTGACATTACCTTTCCTTCATGAATCAAGTGCCCTTACACAACAAAAGAGAGTAGTTCCACACACTAAAATTTAAGAACAATTAGGAACTCAAGATAGAAAGAATTCACTCACTCTCAGAAATAACATTCATATGCCACAAAAGATGCACCATAAGCTTGCCCGTAGTGTACTACTCTACTAATCGAGCTCATTCAGCCTAGGATCAAGTAGGACTTTATTTGGTTGTAATGTAGGCTGCAGGACGGGTATGATACAATTAGATATACGAGTGACTATACCTCCCTAAGCACTTTAATACATACATTTTAACGTTGAAAACCCCATACTTATGTCAAACCATAACTCCACCTTCACATCAATATACATTAACTCCATACTTCTTTAAGCACAATTACATCAGCAGTCACCACTATCAGCAATACAACTAATTTTTTTCCTTTTCAATTCATGTGGCTCTTACTTTTTCAAAATAGTGCACCTTTCTCCTTATTTCATTAGTTCCACTCAAAAGCCAACCCAACCACCCCACACTTTAACTTTTACAAAGTTCATAACAATTCAAGTGCTCGTGAGAGGTGAAAAGGTTCAAATAGATGGTTAATTCAAATAAATGGGTAAGGCTTGTAATGTGGTTGCCAAAAAAAACAGGATTACTGGCTCAAAGGGGTTAACTATGATACATAACAATTAGGCGGGTAAAATATATATATGGCTCAACAAAGAAATGCCTATCTCACTTCCAAGATTGAACAAAACTACTATTTCGCTTTGCAAACACACGGGGCAAGTTCTAGACATCAAATGCAATGCACAGAATAATACAAAACCTTACACACACATGGCACATAACTCACTTAG